TGGCAGGGAAGGGGGTTTTTTTCTGTTTCAGTGTTTCCTTGTTTGTGGTTACCAGAGCCCTGTTTACGTTTCCCAGAGCCTTTCTGACAGATTGGGATGTGGCTGGAGTTGCATTAACTATTCTTCCACCAAATGAAGTCTGGGTCTGCAATCTTTCAGATAAAACTTTCGCTGCAGGTAGAAATTTACAGTTGTACTTAGAATGAAGTGCATGACAAGCTACATTTATCTATGTCAAGCTTTCTGCCTAGTAAGAGGACAAGTGCAGTCAAATGCTTCCAGACAGAATCAGAGGCTTGGTCTTTAAAAAAACAAAACAAAAACACACACACACACACACACACCCTTATAAACCTAGATTTACCCCAGCATTGTTCAGGTCCTTAAGGTTTGGGGTCACCATCTGCTCCCTGCGGCAGTGAGGGGGGGACACAGCCAGCCTGCTGTCTGCTCTCCAGGGCTGGAGCACTTGCTGCCCCCTCTGATCATTTGGGAGTATAACTGTCCCTGCTATCACCACCCTCCCCTTCCATTTGATGAGACACGAAAAAAGATATATAACAGGAGTTATCAGCATTGCTGGATAAACAGCTACACTGACACAAGAGGACTTCTGTTCACGAGGCTAAATTTGTTTTGGGAGATACTGTTCCTATTTGACTGGACAGGATTGCTAGTGTGTAATCTGTGTCAGGGACATGCTAATAGTCAGTCACATGTTCTCTCTCTAGTCACAAGTGTCATGCTATTCTTTACATATGAAGAAACAGCAAATCAAGTGTATTCCTGGTTTATTTCACTAGATACCTTGCTTTAGTTAAGAGAGTTAAAGTTTAATTTCTGTAGTAATATACTCACAAGATGTTGAGGACAACCTTAACCGTTCCTTAGAAGCAGCAACATCTCCTTCATTCTCTTTGTCTAGGAAGGAAAGGGTTGTCATCTTCAGCTTGACAAGATCACTGCAAGAAAAAAAAATAAAAATCACTTATTGAGTTACTGAAAAATCCTCTGGGAACAAACAGTGAGAACAGTCATGGTTTTGGTGTCTCTTCATACAAAACATGCGTTGAGATATTGATATTGACTATGCTGTCCATTTGACATTTTGTAGATGAGAGTTTAAGTGAGACTTGCCCAGTGTTCTCTGTAAGCTTTGAACTTGTAGAGCCACTCAAGGCAAATTCCAATGCCACCCAGCTGATTAGCAGAGCGCCCACAGCTAAATTTGTGTTTCTCTTGATGGCACATGCATATTTGCACATGCCTCAGTGCACACAATTTATTCTGCACATGGAAGGAAGAAATCTACACATGGGATGGAAAGACTACAGGGAACATTGGATGGACCTGTCCCTGTTTTGCACAGCAGTACAAAGATGTAGGCTTTTAACTATTTAAACCTTCCAGTTAGGTGGCACCTGAATTCAGATTACATTGGCATACACAAATACACTACCTTATTTTGATCATATTCTTGCAAATCTTGCCTGATGTTGTAGGATCAGGATTATTTTTTACAATATGTAAATGTTTATTCCTAAACTACAATAAACCTAAACAAAGTTGTTTAAGTATATCTTAATGCATTGTTTGTTCACCTGTTAGCAAGATTTGCAAGTGCAAATTAATGTTCCCTCTATAATACCAAAAATGACAAACTATCAATTTGGAAGCCCAAGCACATTATTTCCAGCCTGCTTTAGTAGTTAACTTTATCAGGAGCTGACTGTCAGAAAGAGGCAACTTAGAGAGCTTGGAAGTACTGTTAAGAGAAACTCAAAGGGGTACTAACTTGATTTTTCCACACTAGAATAATTTGTGCCTCTGATTGGCTCATCTAATCTTATTGTAACTTTAGGAGCAAAGAGAAGACAAGTCTGTTTCCTCAACCTTGGATTAATCATCATGGAAGCCTGATAAAGTGAGAACATTACTGGATAATTGTTCAACCCCAATTAGCATTACTGCACCAACACAGTAGGGCTACGTCTACACTGAGGCTTTTTGTACAAGAACAGCTGTTCTTGCGCAAAAAATTGTGGAGCGTCTACACTGCACGTGTTTTTGCGCAAGTAAATTTACAGTAAAGCATCAGAAAAAGAGGGCTTCTTGTGTAAGAGTTATTCCTCTCCCCATGAGGAATAAGCCCTCTTGTGCAAGAAGGCTAGTGTGGACGGGAACAGGGGTTTCTTGCGCAAGAAACCCCTATGGCTAAAATGGCCATCAGAGCTTTCTTGTGCAAGTGTCCACACCACCATGGCGGCTCTCGCACAAAAACACATGGCAATGTGGACATGGTCTTGCGCAAGACCTTTTTGCAGAAGAACTCTTGCGCAAGAAGCCTGCCATGTAGACATAGCCTAGTAGTAGCATGAAGTAGCAGTAACTAGACATAAGAATAGCCATACCACAGAGGGGGGCTATAGTAGGAGAGTCACTCCCCTCCTTAAACCCAACTCTGGTAGAAGGTTGAGACTGTGAAGCCAGCAGCTAAGGCAAACCACAGCCAATCAGAAAGCAGCTGGATTACTGTAAACAGGGGCTCCTGGAGGGGAGGGGATTCTTGCACCAGATGTGGCGCAGGATGGGCCTGGCTGCTTGGGTAAGCTAGAGAGAAGGTACCTGAGACAACAGGCAGTGGGTCACTGAGGAAATATAGTTAGAGGTTTGGGGTCCCTTGGGAAGGGGGGACTGCAGAGTGTGCAGGGGGTGGGCATCATCATCATCATCAGGCAGTACAGTCAGGAAAGGGCACCAAGACCTGAACCAGTGCAGAAGACAGGTAATTTAAGGAGAGACCCGAGTGCCTTCAGCTTTGACAAGCTAGTTCCTGAGACCAGCAGGAAAGACTGTGGCAACAAGTTCTGACCTGCTACAAGACAAACAATAACCTACAGATAACATCCAGTCAATCAAACCTCAAACCCAGCCAGGGAACAGGATAGCCTTGCCAGGAGGAGCCAACCCAACTCCCAAATAGCACCAGTACAGCCAGTTATCTAGCCACCCAGGGATACTAGCTCCCAGTCTTTCCCCTTCTGCCACCTCTTCCCTACAGCCTCAGCTCCTCCAGTGCCAGAGACATGCAGTCACTCTGCAGCTTCAGTCCTCTGGGCAGCACTATCTGGGGTTGGATGGGGCATATAAATCTTATGGTTTGGCCAAGGGACAGGAAGAGGCTAGGGGGGAAAGTAGTAGGCCACACCTGGCTATCTGGGGAAGGCACTCCCTCCCCCAGCCTTCCATACAATTTCTGTACCCAGTGCTGACCTCAGGACAAGAGATTTCCTCACCCCACCATACCAGGTCAGACTACCAACAGTAGCAAAAGCCAAGTGCCTCAGAACAAATCATTCAATGAAGAACCCCTCATCACCAATTCCCAGAGCAACACTAGTATGAGCATTTCACATCCTTTTGACCATAAAAAGGAAGTGAAATGATGTATTGAAGCAGTTCTGAACAGCAGAGTAGGGTATCACTGGTAGGTAAACAATGTAAGGGATGAGTGCAGACTGTGCCCTCAGGAGATAGTCCCCAGGGAGCGTTATCCAGGCAAAGAATTACACTCACCTAGCAGCGTGAGAGTTACAGGACACTTGGAAAGTTCTCCCAGGTCCTGCTCAGAAGGGCGAGCACTTACCCGGCCAAGACCCCCAGGAGGCAGTCGGGGAAGGCAAAACAATGCGACTCTTCGGAGAGACAAGGCCAACCCCGCCTGCGGAGGAGACACAGCCTGAGCCCTCACCCCAGAAGCCACAGCTGAGCTGCAGCCGCCACTGCCGCGGGAAAGCCACTAGCAGGGGAGATTGAACACGAGCCCCGCCGCCGCTTAAGCCCCCAGGCGGAAACAGCGCAGCTCACTGGAGGACGCGGCCTCGCTTGCAAGCGCACGCGGAAGGGACATTTCGAAAAGGACAAACCCAGAGCGCGCACCAGCTACGGAACCGCGCAAACGGCCACACGCCAGCACCTCGAGCCATCGCGCGCCACTACCCGCGAGGCCATTTTTAAACATCCACCTCTCCTCCCATTGGCTGCTTGACACGAAAACTAACGCTTCGGCTGCTGATTGGCTAGTTTTGCAGAGCCGACGGGTGAGTGGGTGTTTCTAGGTCGCTCGAGCTGCTGTCAGTCTGGGGGCGGCCGGAAGCCTGGCAGCGGAGGGAGCCTAATCAGGCCTAATTCTTGCCCACTACACTTGTCGCGTTGCATGAGACGGGGAAGCTTTACGGGAGGAGCCGTGAATGCTGCTTGCTCCGCATGTCACTGGCCCCGCGGGGCAGTTCACATGGTTCGGCCTCTTGGTTGTCCTGTTCTCTCCAGCGAATAAACCAGCTCGTTGTTCACGGCCATGCTGTTTCATAAGCATTGCTCAGCTCTGGGCCCTACATCAGCCGAAGACCACACCGACATCTGCGTGTGTCACCCCCAGCCCAACAATGTCCAGACCGCAGCTCCACAGCTCTTGCTTCAAGCCGGTGTAACCCGGACCCGTTTGGGTTGGGATGGACACAGAGACCGTGTGGACGCCAGGGGGGCAGGATGGAGGCCAATTCGGTGCCGTTCGAGTCTTTTCTTGTCACGGGAAATTGCATAAGTGCCGCCAAAGGGCAGTCGAGGGGCCCTTGGGTGCCGCCTGGCAGAGGTGGCTACCGCCCAGCCAGCGCCTGGTCCGGCCGCTGCTTCTTGCAGGGCTCTGCGGTGTCGCTCGGGTTCGCAGACCAACCTCCGGGCGTGCCATGCCTGAGTCCTGTGCACGCCCAGCTCCGTCCGTGCACTGGGGGCCCGCAGCACCTGCCCCTTCCCCGGGGTACAGCTGCGTTCGGAGCAGGGAACAGGTTCCTTTAAGAGACGGAGCCAGGGCCGGCGGCGCGATGCATTGTGGGAGCGGGGGGGGAGGGGAGAATGAGCCGAGATCTAATCGGTAAACCCGTTCGGAGCTGGAGCTGAGGCCTGTTCCGCTCCAGGGGGGGGGGTACGGCTGCGTCGCGCCTCGTGACCGCGCCAGGCCCCGCTCTCGAGCCGGAGGCGTTGCGGTGGCGTCTGTCTGCGGGGCTAGGCACCGCGTAACTCCCCCTTCCTCCCTCAGTTTCCCTCGCGAGGGGTCCGTGGATGCCTCGGTGCTGAGAGTCCCTCCGGCTGCGCATGATCCCCGGCCCGGCCTCCGGATCACAACGCAGGCCGGGCTGTGCAGACAAGAACCTGCCGCGGTTCCTGTCCCGCGGCTCGCGGCTCTGCGGGAGAGGAGTGGAGCCGTAGCTGAAGTAGGGGACCAGGGCCGCACCTTCACTTCCGGGGCCAGCCTAGTCGGTAGTGAGAACTGGTGAGTAGCTCCTGATTTGTATGATTTCAGACCGGATTCCTGAGTTTTATAGTCAGCTGTGTGCCTGACGTATTCCTTGGGTAAAGCGGCTAGTGAGATTGGCATAGCACTCCTCAGCTTCACTTGATTTTTGTAATACTTATTTCATGTATGTTTATAAAATGCCCTGGAGTCTCTGCAGAAGTACTGGATAAAGGTACGTTTTCTGCTTGCATCACAAAGCATGTTCGTGAGAGTCCTGAAACCATTTAGATATTTATTAAAAAACAATTCAAGGGGGCTATGTCCCCTGCTCGCTATGCTTGCCAACCCACCCACCCCCACCACTTTTGCAGCCATAGAGTGTGAGAGCTACGCTCACCAATCTCCCCCAGCCTCCCGCCCCTCGCCCCCCCCCCCCACACACACACTTACCTACCTCTCTGGAGACAGGTGTCTGGCCAGGTGGAGGGAGCAGGAGCAGGCTCAGGGTAAGTGTCTGGCTATGGGGGAAGGTGCAGAAGTGGGCAGAGGGAGCAGGATCTCTGTGGAAGAGGTGCATGAGGTGGCTGGGTGTGTGAGATTGTCAGGGCTGTTCCCCACTCAAGCACTCCTAGTACAGAAGATGGGGGCCTGCAAAGAGCTTAAAAGAAAAAGATACCTTTGCTTCTATAGCACTGATTACAAAAATCTTCCCCCTAGAATCACAATATGCAAATTTTGGGGGATCACTGCCACCATCAAGTGATTTTTATCCCTAAAAAAACCAGGGGTGAACACTTGAACCTACTGCCAAGGTTACCCCTAGCTCTTTTGCCCTAAAAGAGCTTGAAAAAGAAAAGAGGAAAACAAGCTACAGTCTCCAGTAGCTGACCTCTCAGTGTGAGGCAGGCAGATACACACAGACAGACCGACCTTCCAGGACACTAGAATCAAATCATCAGCTAAAAAAAGTGTCTTTTATTACAAAACAAAAGGTAAACTTGATAAAGCATTCTTGGTTGCTAGATGTTACAGAGCAACTAAGGAAAACAAATTAAAACAGAGAAAAGACTCTGGGCACAATGCGATATGGTAAACGTGGAGGCATAGATTCACACAGCAGTTCAAACCAAACCACAAAATAAAAAAAATACCCTGAACGCAACTAGATTCACTTTTTTCCCCATTACTTACTTCCATTCTTTTCTTGGTTCAGTCCACTTCCATTCCCTGAATTCCTTGGACTCATGGTAGTCCTGCCTGGGTTTAAATCATTCTATGTCTTTCAACTCCTGGTTTTTCCCTCCCACACAAAGAAGGCATGCAAGGAATCTTATACAATTCAAATTTCATCCCACTATCTCCAGTGGTCTACTAGCTACCTGAGTTTAACCCCTCATTCACTGGGTGCTGGTCAGCACTCCTTCTGTCCATTACAGGGGTCTTGGTTTGGGGGGTATGAATGAAGGGGCTGAGGGTGTGAGGTCTTGGCAGGACAGTGAGTGAGGGGATGGGGTGCATGGTCTCGACAGGGTGGTGAGTGAGTGGGCTGGTACCATGCTGGGAGTCTAGGCTGGTGCTCCAACCTGCCCCCCCCCCAGCCGAGACTCACCACCTCCACCACTGTCACTCACCGCCCTGCTGAGATCATGTACCCCTAACCCCCTCACTCACCAGCTCCAGTTCAGCCCCATCCCTGCTCCTCCTGCAGCAGGGAGACTGTGCTGGCGCTCCAGCCTCACTCACTGCCTTGGGAAAAGAGGCTGGTCAGTGGGAAAGGTGGAGGTACACATTCTGGCCTTGGGGCCGGCCAGTTGCAATGGTAGTGTGGCACGAGGAGGGTCTGTGGGGGGAAGCCAGCTGTGGCCAGTGTGTGGGGGCAGGAGCTGATGGCGGTGGCCTATGACCCCCACCCATGGGGGAGTGATGTAAGCACCAGAGGAGCTGCCTGGACCTGGGGGCAGGGCAACACCAGGAATGTGGTGATGTCACTCTGTCATCCTGCAGGAAATTTTTTTATAGAGAGAGACTTTATGCCATTACTTACTTCATTTGCAAGAGATAAAAAAGTAGAGTATATTGATTGTTCATTTTTCAGTACTAGTGTTCTGTAATGTATTATCCTTTTCATTGTACTTGTATTTGTTCATGTCAGAAAGAAAAAGACCATGGCATCTGGGACAGTTGAAATAATAAACTCTACCCCTGCGGGAGGGTCAAATGATGTAAGTTTGGAGGAGCCAAAAAAGATGACAAGAGAAGACTGGAGGAAGAAGAAGGAATTAGAAGAACAGAGAAAGCTGGGAAATGCACCAGCTGAAGTGGATGAGGAAGGAAAGTAAGTTTCATCTTAGGCAGGGGTCAGCAACCTATGGTTCCCCAGCCAGATATTACATTAAGATAATTAATGTTTATTTTGGCCCACCTGTCACAAAGACTAATGCTGCAGTGGCAGTATCTTAGCCAATGATATTAATCCAAGGCGTGATTATTGCTAATTAAAAAATTATCCTGTTTTTCACTTATGCAAATGGCATAAACAATGTAGCACATGTCTAATTTTTTTTCTTTTTACAGAGATATCAACCCTCATATTCCTCAGTACATATCTTCAGTGCCGTGGTACATAGATCCTTCAAAAAGACCTACATTGAAGCATCAGAGACCTCAGCCAGAGAAGCAAAAAGAGTTCAGCTCATCTGGGGAATGGTACAAACGAGGGGTTCAAGAGGTGTGTAGCAAAGATGAAAACGGACTATTGTTTTGGGAAGGGAAGAATTGTAAAATACAGTAAATTCTTCTTGGAGTGAAATTGATTTAGCCTTGCAGTGATTTTTGTTATGAAAAGTCTTTCACTAGAACTAATCTAAGTTTTAGTAAATCTAGTGTTCAGTTTTGTCCCCACATAGAAGCATTGATTCCTCTTTTTTATCTACTTGTTGGAAGCATCCTTAAAAGAACAATTAACAGTATATTTAGTCTGTGTTTTTCTGTTGTGATTGCCTCTGACTATTTGGCAACAAATTGAAGTAAAATATTAATTTCTTTCTCCATAGAAAAAAAAATGGGTTTTAATTGAGTAATGTAGTCTAAAGGAGAAAATCAGAGAGCTCAATTCAGTATTATTGAAATCAATGGGAGTTACCGATTCCTCTGGAATATCTATTCCCTCTGGTTTCTATACTGATTGTGAAACAGGGAGAGTGTAAAGATGAAACTTTTGCCATTGGCTTTCCAGAACATTTGAGAAACATTTCCAGAACATTGAAGTTATGTGTTTGGACTCTGTAGAGACTATTTTGTATACACAAAATCACCTTCGCCCTATCAGGCTAATGAAAAATGCACATCAGCCAAAGTTGGTTTTGGGCATTGTGTCAGTCAGTGTTTTACAGTGTTTGTTCCCTCTGTTTTAGAATGCTGTTGCAACTAGGTACCGTAAAGGAGCCTGTGAGAACTGTGGCTCAATGACACACGCAAGAAAAGATTGCCTGGAGGTAAACTAGACTACTTTTGGTGTCTGACTGTGTTTCTTGGGAAATATTGCTGTGAATTGTACATTGGTGGAAAATATGTAGTTTGACACCTCTAAACTGGCCCTTCTTAAGTCAAATCACTGTGGATGTAAAATCCCATTTAATCAACTGCTTAAACAGGATTTTGCACCAGGCTAGGTGGGGAGCTGCTCCAGCCCAGCTGTGGTGCCGCAAGCTCAACTGGGCTAGAACGCCTGTGGCACGGTGGGCGGGGGAGCTGCTCCATCGCATTCAGGCCACCAGTTAACCATATAACCAGTGATTTCCCTAATTTTGATCAATCTCTCAAATGCAGTTTGAGATGTTTGAAGGCTGTTGAACCAAACCAATTTTATGTAGGTGGAATAAGAAGGAAAAAAACTCAGTTAACCGTATCAAAAGATTTATTTTTACAAGGTAGTATGGGACATTTTACGCGCGCGCGCGTGTGTGTATTTGCCAATAGGAATAAGAAAATGGGCACTTCAGTCTACCACATCTCACCCACTCTTTTCTGTTTGTTGTATAATTTGTCGTATGCTGCTTTGGCTCAAGCACAGGCCAGGATACCTTTTTCAGCTCCAATTCAGTTAATGGGATTTCTTGAAAGTACTCTTAGTGTCTGCTGTCTTCATATCTATTTAGTTGAAAAAGTAACTTCATGTACGACATTTGCCTCTGAGTCATCTTGTCAGCTTACATGGTTTTTACAATCACACTATTTAAAAAAACTTTTTTCCTTTCTCCTTTTGAATGTATGACCTACAAAAACAGGAAAAACTGATACAGATTGCTGAAATACTCTGATTTTTGCTCTATCACTTGTAGAACTCCACAAGCTCTAGTAGAGATCAGGATTATTCTATGCTAGAGTTCTTGCCATTTCTAGAAGTGATCTGAGACGTGGGAAAATTCCCCAAGCTACTTTTATAGATGCAACCTAACTATCTAAACAGGGAAATGAACATTGAAGAAAAAGAAAACTAATCTTCCAGTTAAGAGTCCTTTTAAGGGGTTAGTGGCAGCAGTAGATTAAAATAAAAGCAGATAAAACAATTGACAGAAGTGTAAGTCAATATCTTTTTAACCTGACTTCACTATAAAATCTAGAAGTAATAATGGACATATATTTAGAGCTGTGGGTTGCAAATTATGTATTGTCAAGGTATCTTAAGAGGAATTTAGTTTTTTAAAGAGATGGCTATAGATGAGTAATATGGCTGTCCTATTGATTAAAATAATACATTAAAATAATGGTGACTTCCCTTTTTCAGAGACCTAGGAAAGTTGGAGCAAAATTCACAGGCCTCAATATTGCACCAGATGAATATATGCAACCTACACTGATGTTTGATTATGATGGGAAGAGAGATCGTTGGAATGGTTATAACCCAGAAGAGCACATGAAGATTGTAGAAGAATATTCTAAAGTTGATTTGGTATGTAGGTATTTATGGAGTGTGGGAACCAAACAAACCTAAGTAGCCTGTTTGTGAAAAGGCTTATTAAATGTTCTTCAGCATATGCTGCATTCGTAATGCAAAAGATATATGGATTTTCTCATTGGTTGCTTAGATTTATTATTTTGAACAAAAACTCAAAAATAACAATGGAATTGCAGGGGGATCAATTCTGTAAATGAATTGCAGATTAGAGTTGCATTTTCTAAATTGACTTAGAGAAAAACTGCATATAATCACCAACAGTAAATACATGATACGGGATAGATAATATTGATAATGATTTATTGAAGAATTAAAATACTTGATCTTAGCTGGTCTTTTAATGTTTTCTATAGCAGTGAGGAAGGCTAATGCAGAAAGCAGACAGTTTGAATTTCAACTCAGTGAAACAGACATGCCTTAGCTGTGTCAGCTTAATGAGCCAGAGTATTTTAGAAAATATGGATTTGTAAATTTGTTTATATTAAGTAAAACTGTTTGTGATAGTAAGATGGTATTTAGAAGTTCTTCTCTACTGTAGTGTACCAGAGATTAGAATGGTACAGTCAGTGCAGAGGGATTTCAAAGAGCAGTATAGAGACAAACTTTGGAACACTGGGTTTTTTGGGTAAGTCTTCACTGAAATAAAAAACCTGAGACTGGCCTGAGGCACTTGACTCAGGCTTGTGAGGTTATAAAATTATAGTGGAGATATTTGGGCTCAGGCTGGAGCCTGGGCGTAGAAATCCTTTTCCCTTGCAAGCCTCAGAGCCTAGGCTCCAGCCCAAGCTGAAACATCTGCATTGCAATTTTTTAGCTCTGAAAGCCTGAGTCAGCTTGTTTCATTGCAGTATAGACAGATCTTGAGTGGCTTTCTGAGCTGGAGACTGTTCTGTATTAGGCGGTTGGTAGCAACAAATCTGGGTTCTTTAAAGTTCTAAATGCACCTTGCTTATGATTATTTGGTTTTGGTAAAACATGTTTATTTAAGAAAACAAAATAAAAACACCGTCTTTCCACACTTAGGCTAAACGTACTCTGAAAGCCCAGAAGTTGCAGGAAGAGTTGGCTTCGGGAAAACTAATGGAGCAGGTGGTAAGTAAAGTAAAACTTGACATATTTTACTTAAAACTGAACCAAAAAAGGTGCCTTTTTCCTTCTCAAAATAGAACAGCTTCATAAGCTGGTAGCCCAAACAACTAATAAACGGCATTACAGCAAATATGTTTTTCATTTGCTGTCTTATTTTTTTTTGTGTACAGATCTGAAGCTTCTGTTTTTTGCATCTGCTTGCTTTTCATCGCATGTCATTGATAGAAGTAGTACCTAGTACTGGGGCAAGCGTTAGAGCAGTGATTTTTGTCTGTTGGGGCATTTTTATGAAGTTTGTTTACCCTACGCTATCCAATGTTCAAATTCTTATTATAAAACAAGTTTAGTACACTATCAAGAAAAATGTACTTGTGTCAAGAAGTACTTTAAAAACTCTGAAAATGGGTTAATCTTCTCTTTGTGGTAAAGCTCCTTTTTTCAGTACTGACAATTGATGGCTTTACCAAGGCATGCAACACAACTTAGAGAATCTTACTGTCTCTTCCCTTTCTCAGTAATAACCCCCATCTTCCTCCCAGAGCCAAAAGGAATGCCCTTTCACTCCCAGCAATAAGCCAGTCTGAGGTTCCCTTCTATGAGTGGTCAGATACTATCCTACCTAGTTTCATCCCAGTGCCAGAACTCCTTCATGGAGACTCCTGGCATGAGGGAGGCGGCAGAAATGGAGCATGTTAAAGATGCAGGAAAAGATGTTTTGGAGAGGAAAGGTTGAATGGGACTAGGTGAGTTTCTCCCAGGAGTTCTCCCTCCAGTGTCTATAGATCTTCCCTCCTTCCCCATGCCAGAGGTTACCTCAACATGGAAATTAACTGGTGCCTCTTAAAATACTTCAGCTGGCTTCCTCTGGGTTAAACTATGGGTTGTGGTCTCTAAACAAAACTAAGTAAAGTACTTTGTAACCCTGTTAAATCAGTAATTTCAAAATACTTTTTTTAAAGAGAGAAAGAAATGTTAAAATCTAATGAGACATTAATTTGGAATGATCATTGTTGGTAAACAAGAGTGGGCAAGATATGGCCTGCTGGTACCCTGAGGCACAGAGCAGCCAGCTGCTTCAGAGTAGCCCCATTCTGCTTTAAGTGGCTGGCTGCTCCCCGTGGCTCTGTGCTCTGGGTGTTAGGAGGAGGTGGAGGCTTCACACGCTGCCCTCACCCCTCCCTAGCAAAATCTGTCAGCTTCTATTGGCCAGTCAATAGCAGAGACATTTTGCAGAGGGACAGGGGCAGTACATGAATCCTCCCCTTCCTCCTAGTTCCCCTAGTAGAACCACAGGGAGCAGCCTGGATCTGGCACAGGCAGAGAGCCTACCTTGGAGTCCTGCAGGCCATCCCCTACTCCCTGCCCCAGGTCACCACTCAAACTCTTTGCTCCCCCTCCCACCAACCTACAGGTTACAACTCCATTACAGACCTTCCCCCTGCCCCCCAACACACACACACTTTTCCCCAAGCCAGAATCCTCTTCTGCACCCAAACCTCCTTCCTAGACCCAGCATTCCAAGCCCCTGCCCCAGGTCACAACCCCCTCTCTCTCAGACCCCACACTATCTCTGACACTACAGTCTTCTAACCCAAGCTCCCTTCTGCACCCAACCTCTGTCCCAGAACCTGCACCCCCTCTGTAGAAAAGTGCAACCTTTGATCACTTTCAAAATCTTGGAGTGCCCCACCCCTCACCAAATTATTGCCCACCCCTGTGGTAGACACTAGAACTGACTTTATGCAGCACTTTTTCAAGAGTGATGAGTTCCTGAATTGTCAGATATGTGATAGTTTGTGAAAACAATTAACATATTTCTCAGAAAGGTTTTTGTGCTGTAAGAGGCTTGCAAACTTTTAAGCAAAAAGTGTATTTTACAATTATCTGTTATGCATTTTGTTCCATAGCTATCATATTTGTCTTCCTCTACCTTTGGATAAGCCCTGATTTTTCCAACAATGTCCTCTCTTCTTCCCACTCTAAAGTTTTGTCTTCTCTGTTCATGTCCTTTTTGTTTGCTGCAGAATTCCCCAAGACACCAATGGGGAGAAGAGGAATCAAATTCACAGACAGTAAGACATTTAATGCATCACTCAAAGAAGGGGAAATAACAGTAGTCATTCTACCAGATGCTGGAAAGGTTTGGCATGGGACTTGCAGTAGTGGCTTCATGTCATCTATGTATTTTCTGTGCAATGGTATCCCAGCAAGCACGGCCTGGAATTACTGGCTTTGTGATGCCAGAGTGGTGCAAAGCAGCTGGAGTTTGGTTCCACGATCTGGCTTTTTGGATTTTAATCTTATTGTGATACCAACTCTTATAGGCAAATTGTCAGGCAATAGAATAAGTGACATAAAGAAAATCTAGGCCATCTCAGGAACAATGGCCATAATTTCTATTGCAGTTTTATTTTAAGTATATTTTAACTCTTCGCCTCACAAGTAGAAATTGGGAAAAAATAGAGGTTATTGGATTGCCATCTAACTATAGAATGGATTCTAACACTTAACCAGGAGTTCTCATAGCAAGCTCCTAACTAGAGAAACTGAGAGATGGGTGGAGGGTTTCTTGAAGAATTTATTTTAACTGAACAGTTTAAATTTATAATCAGGTTGTTGTATTTATTTCTAGATTGGACACCCATCATTTTCCTTAGTAGTTTTGACTCTGTTTTCAGGAAAGAGATCATAACAGTGAAGATGAGGATGAAGATAAATATGCAGATGATATCGACATGCCTGGACAGAACTTTGACTCCAAAAGACGTATTACAGTCCGAAACTTACGTATTCGGGAGGACATTGCTAAAGTAAGCCACAGCAAATTAACTGGGTTATATTATGACTTTTCTCTTTTATTGGATTATTCTATTATTTTTAGGGTCGTGTTCAAGGTCATGTTCTCTTAACCAGTAGTTACTGCAAATAGACTCAGCATGGGGCTTGAAGCCTGTGGATTTAGTTTTTTCCCCCAGGTTTGCCACTGATTTTCCTGGGTAACTCATGTTGTCTCTTTACCCCTTTTTCCTTCTGTCAACATATACAAATTTTGACACTTAGGTAGTGTTTTCACCTACAAAGTATCAGTGCTTTACAAAGGTAGGCAACCTATTACAGTAAAACTCCAATTGTTCGGCATCCAGTGGTCCGGCACTCCTGATAATCCGGCACCAACTGGAACCCGGAAGTGCTCCAGCCAGCCGGACAGCTGGAGCTGCTCTGCCCCGCCTCCGGCTTCCCTAAGTCCACCACTGGTCAGTTTCAGCAGCGGTGGTCTTGGGGAAGCCCTGGGGAAGAGCACCCCAGCTGCTCTGCCCCCAGCTTCCCCAAGTCCGCTGCTGCTGAAACTGACCAGCAGCTGACTTGGAGAAGCCGGGGGTAGAGCAGCTGGAGTGCTGCCGGGTTGATCTCGCAGCGCTGCTCAGGTGAGGGGCAGTGCTACAGGACCAACCCGGCAGCACCCCATCTGCTCTGCCCCCTGCTTCTCCAAGTCAGCCGCTGCTGACCGGCAGCTGACTTGGGGAAGCTGGGGGCAGAGCAGTTGGGGGGCTGCCGGGTTGGTCCCGCAGTGCCACCCTCTCCCAGACTGCGCAGTTCCCCGTCGATCCCCCCCCCTTTTTCCCCCCATAGCCCCCCTTCCGGTACTCCGGCATATCTGATAATCCGGCACCCCCTGTGTCCTAAAGTTGCCAGATTATTGGAAGTTTACTGTAGTTATTCCAGTTTAAAGGAAGCTGATGTAATAGCAATTGGAGGCCTGTCAGCTAACATTTTAAAGTATCTATGAAAGGATTACACATATATTTTCAGTTCTGCTAGAATCCCAGATTTTTAAGTAAACATTTTGAATGTCTCTTTATTTTAGTACTTGAGGAATCTTGATCCAAATTCTGCCTACTATGATCCCAAGACGAGAGCAATGAGAGAGAACCCTTATGCCAATGCAGGAAAGAATCCAGATGAGTAAGTTTGAAACTAAGATTTTGACTACGCATCTATAACAAAACTAGATGAAATTGTTTTAATACAGGGTGAACATCTCTGAAACTGCACTCTCTGGTCCGACAGCTTCCATGGTCCAGCATTTTAGTTAGCCAGATGTTCATTTATCATGGGTGTGACCGAGTTTCCTGTGGTTCCATAGTTTGTTGACACTCAGCAGTCCTGGCTCTCAGTGTTCTGAGCTGTTATTTAGCTCTCATTTACTCTTAAATGTCTTCAAAGTCCCAGTAAGCAGTAGAAGTGCTGGTAATGCTGCTAGACAATATTGACCTCTAGTGGCCAGGCAAATTCTCTGGTTCAGTACCAGTCAGCTCCTGAGGGTCCTGAACTAGAGAGGTTCAACCTGTATTAACCATGTTGCTACTAATGAACGACTGGTTATGAAAGAGTGAACCTTCCAGTACTTTTGGGATATGGTTTTCTGCTTATTTTTTTCATCTGTCTTTTAAGTTGACACATGCGGTGCTGATGAGGATCATTTTGTTGTGTTGATGCTTAAAGTGATCTTGTCAATGTAATTATCATGGGATTGATACTAGGGATGTTAAGTAGCTGTTAATTGACTAGTCGAGTAGTTGATGGAATTTCCATAGCTTGACTAGTTGTTAAGGAAGGGCAGTTTAAGCTCTCACTTCTGGCTCTCTCGCATTGCATCTCAGCACAACTCCCGGCTGCCACTCTGCACTCTTAAAGGAACAGAGAGGAGCCGGTGCGCAAAGAAGCTGGCTCATTCTCTGGTCCCTGCCGGGTCTCAGGACAGCTCTCACACTGCCACTCTGCATTTTTAAAAGTGAAAAAGCAGTGGCAGCTGGTCTGCTTGTCTATCTGTGTCTCCCTGACCCCTCCACACGCTGCCTTTTTGCATTTTTAAAGGGACACAGCAGCAGCAGCCAGTCCCACTTGTCTGTCAGCAGGACTGTCTGCCACTGCTGTGTCCTTTTAAAAATGCAGAGTGGCAGCGATGGGGTGGAGGGGAGCAATCGACTACTCAGCTACTCCTTCACATCGCTAATTGATACTGTCGTTTGTTTGTTTTTTAGTACAAATTATCAAGTGGATAGAACAGCAAATTGTAGGTTACAGCAGAACCTCCTCTTATAGCAGAGATTGAATCTCTAGACCACAGTGATTTATATGTAAATATATTTCAATAGTTGAATTTCACAGCTGTTTTCCTCTTGATCTGCAATTATCACAGCATAGAAACCTTGCAAATTCAGGTAGCACACTGTTCAAAAATTGAACTTTCATGCTACACTATCAAAGACTTGTTAGAACTCATAGCTTGGCCTCTTGACCCAGCAAGCATTCAGAACATTGAAGACCTAATGTTTAAACATTCAAGGTATATCTACACAGCAACGTTATTTCAAAATAATTAGCGTTATTTCAAAATAACTTAGTGGGTGTGTGACGTAGTGGGGGTACCTGGCTGGTTTCTATGCTGCTGGCTCTGGGGTAACCCCCACTGGCTGCCGTGGGTACCACGACCCAGCAAAACAGGATGAGTCACTATGCAAAGGGACCTCTCAACCGGTATGGCCAGACACCCCCCATGGAGAGGAACAAAGGAAGGTGGAATGCTGCCTTGGCTGGGGGGGCAGGGCTGGAAGAGTGTTGGTTAGTTGCTGTCTGGGAGCATGGAGGAGACAGCCTAGGGAAAGGGGCTGGAGTTTAGGGGCCCAGTCTCCCCCATCTCAAGGGGGCCTGAGGCATCCTAGCCCAGCTCTGTGACCAGATGACATCTATGCTGTGCTGTATCCTGGAGAGGCAATAAACTTCCTCTATTCCACCGGCTGGTGCAGTCTGTTTGTGCCATTTCGGGGTGCAGGAGACGGGGGACCCCCAACGCGCCGTCACAGGGTGTCTACACAGCAGGCAGTTATTTCAAAATGTCGAAATACTGTCTAGCTGGAGGACTTTTTACTCCAACTCCTGTAACCCTCATTGTACAAGGAGTAAGCGAAGATGGAGGAAAAGTGCTCTGTTTCGAAACAAGTGCTTTGTAAATGCTCCCAATTTTGAAATAAGCCAGGGGCTCTCAAACTTTGTGATACCGCGACCCCCTAAAATGCTAACCGAATTTGTGTGAGGCCCCCCCCACCCTCACCCAAGTTAAACCCCCCCAAAAGTGCTTCCCCCCCAAGGCAGGCCACCCAACACCCCCCATCCCAGTGCACTCCCCCTGAGGCAGGCATCCTCCACGTCAGTCCAGGAGCCTGCTCCTATCTAATCATCCCCCCCCCGCCCCGAGCCAGGCACAGAGGAAACTCTTACTTTGAAAGTGGCTGCTCCTGAAGCCTGGCCTGGCTGCCTCAGCTCACAGCGTGTAGGGGAGGTATCATGTGGCAAGCTGCTGGTCTCTGCTGTTCATGTTGGCCAGAGCAGCGTGCGCTCTGGCACCCGGCAACTGCCCCTCCTCACTAGACTCTGGTGCTCCTCATTTCCCTGCCCCTGCCAGATGCGGCAGGGGAAAATTGTCCCTGCCGGGCTTCCATCCGATATTTCATGGTTTGTTTTTTTTTGTTTTTTTTTGTTTTTTTTTTTTAAACCAGACGGAGCTCACAGGGAGAGGCAAATTTTTTTAAAGAAAAAAAAAATGGATCCAGTTGTGACCCACCCCCCTCCGTATGTTGTTCTCAACCCCCCAGGGGTTGCGGCCCACAGTTTGAGAAACGCTTGAATAAACTATTTCGAAATAAGCTATGCCATTGACTAGCTCAATTTGCATAGTTTATTTTGAATTTAGCTCTACTGTGTAGACACACCCTCACAGTTAGCAGAGGAGTAGGGTGTGATTTTTGTGTGTTATTCTATGGTCCAGAAATTAAATATAAACAATGTTGCAATCTTACAATCTGGAGAGTGTGGGCAACATGTCCTTTTCTAGCAAGAGATATGCACAGTTGTAATAGTAAAAAGATGCCAAAAATGGATGAAAGACTTTGTGTTTAACAAAGTATAAAGGTGTTGCACGTTACTTAGGTAATAAGTGTTTTCTTTTGTTTGCAGAGTTGGTTATGCAGGTGACAATTTTGTTCGTTACACTGGAGATACCATTTCAATGGCACAAACTCAGTGTAAGTATTTCATTGACAGAAAAATCATACCTTCAAATGTCATATTTCTGTTCCAAGGAAGAAATGTATCTTGTTACAGATTGTCTTTTAAAAATCATGCAATCAAGTCTAGGAGTAGGTTAAAAGAGCTATTTGAAAAACATGTATAGGATTCAGAAGAATCATTTAATTAAGTGATGGCTTTTTGTTGTTTTATATATAGTGTTTGCTTGGGAGGCTTATGACAAAGGCTCCGAAGTTCATCTTCAAGCAGACCCTACAAAACTGGAGCTTCTGTACAAATCCTTCAAGGTGAAAAAAGAAGATTTTAAAGAACAGCAGAAAGAAAGCATCCTAGAGAAGGTAACAAAAGAGAAATGCCCAATGAACAAGAATGCTTTACAGCAGGGCTACTCAACTGTGGAAGCCCTGGGGGCCACAATGATACTCACAGCACATGCCGAGGGCTGCAACTTAAGTGTGGTTGCATATACGTGCAAATAGCTTCTTTCACACTGACAGGCATGAATACAAAGCACTTCCCACAATGCCTTGGTGCTCCCGGCACCTCCTCCCTTGAGCTAGAAACGCCGACACCCTCTACTCACCCGTCTGTTCCAACCCAGCCCATCCACTTGCATCTTTCAGTACTCCCCCCGCTTGGGAGACACCTCACTGTTGTGAAGTGTGTTCCCAGTAGAGGCCATGTTCAAAGGATCCCACCTGTGGGCCGCATGTTGAGCCCTGTGTAAATCCAAACCGCCCCATAGGCCACGAACAAACGGGCCGCATGCGGCCCACGGGCCGTGTGTTGCGTAGCTCTGCTTTAGAAGAGCTGTTGGCATTTCTTTTTCTATGGTCAGGAGCCTCATTTCTCAGCTGTCAGAATGTACCTCTGGTGAAAACTTGACAATGATGGCACTGTCAAGTTTTGGGTGTCTGGACTTATGCCTTTAAAATATGTATGAGTGGTGGAAAATAGTCTTTGTAGTTTTAAAATTGATCCTTTTTGGAAGAAGGAAACTTGGGGATAGTTTATCCCAAATTTGCAAATATTTCATAGTTTATACAAAGTAAATGCTTTATAGAATCTTAATTTAGTATCGTTAGTATCGTGATAATTATTGCAGCTCTCTATAGATAAACATTTTCTATCTTCCTGTATTACTATCAATTTTACTTAGTAAATCTGGTAAAAATAAATCATGAAAATACTACTATTTGCAAAGCACAAGTTGACGACAAACAGTATATTGTCTAATTCTTCTGTACTTGGATGTTTTTCTAACTTTGCTTTGTTTTGCAAGCTTCTGAGATTTTTCTGTACTTAAAATAGGGTATATCTCTGGAGCTGGTAATACTCTCTAAACAAAAAAGATGTTAACTATTACCACTGTAGCAGAAAACAGGGTCTTTAGGTAGCAAGTTAGAAGTACAAACATTTTATCACGTTTTGCATTTTAATGTTCTGTGTTTTTGCATAGCACGAAAAGAACAGGCATTGAGGCAATTGAGTTTTGGCTATAATTCTTCAAAAATGTTGCTTGTATTGTTCTAGTATGGGGGTGCTGAACTGCTGTTAGCCCAGGCAGAAGACTATGTGGAATATTCTAGGCATGGAACAGTCATCAAAGGACAAGAGAAAGCTATTGTCCGTTCCAAATATGAAGAGGATGTAACTATTAACAACCATACAGTAAGTAGCTAGACTGAGAGACTGAGCTAAATTTCCTGGTAAAGCAGAGGAAATGTGACCAAATGCCATGGGGACTGAAGTAGTGAATTTAGTCTCCCCCTCCAAGCAGGATAATTTAATTATCTGTAATTGGAGCTGTGTCAGAATCAAGTGGAGACTATGTAGGAACTTTCAAAGGCAAAAATAGAAGTCATGCTTCCAATTTTCCTGGATTTAGAATGGGGGGTGAGCACCTAACTGTCCTCTTGCCTTTGAAAATCTCCCCCATGTGCTAATTCTTCAAATTCCTCAGCCTTCCCTTCTAAGATTTTTGGATGAATTACTGTTTTAACTCTTCTCCAAGGGTGGAGTTTCAGGAGGGGGAGTGAGACAGCAGCTGTGGACATTGGGATGTGGCTTGATTTTCATTCAGTGCATGCCTTTCACTCCTGGTTGGTAAAGGGAGCTCAGCAGGCAGGTGAGAGAGTCATGTACAGAATGCAAGCACTCTCTCCACACTCCCTGATTATCTGGGGAATGGGATGGAAAGAAAGCCATGACCTGGTGCACACG